TTATTTATTTATCAGTCTGGCGAGTAAACAAAAAAATTTACTAGCCAATGGCGATTCAATTGCCAAGGTGTTCGTAGAGGGCTGGTAGGTGTGGCTGACTCTGAACTTTTATAAAGAATATCTCTTTGGATTTGAGACTTTGCAACTTTACAGATCTTCTTTATGCACCAAGAGCTTGTAACACTACAAAGAGAAAGGAAAAATTGAAATCGCATCATATGACCCCTTTAAAAAAGGCCTGTGTCAGGGATTAAAAAAGTTGCTTTTTTTACAGATTTATACACTATTTTGCCTACACTATTTATCTGACATTTTTATCCAAAACAACTTAAACGTAGCAGTAACCCAACGTGAAGCGTTTTCACATCATTTATGGATCAACTCGTGAAGGGCTTGAACCTACAACCTCTGGGTCACCAGCCCAGATATTTCACCATTCATCTCACCATGGCTTTTCATGAAGTGCATGATGCCTGTCATGATTATTTACTGACTGTGACTTTTCATTTCCTCTAGTAGGCTAGTCTCTGAGATGAAATGTAAGGATTCAGCATTATGAAAGTGTTGCAGCCTAGTCTCAGTTTAGCTCAAAAATACACTTGGTAATTTAGTCCATTAAATGCATTTCATGCAAGCACACTGTAAATCTATTAACAGCAGCAATTACATGTTACTCAATAAGAATCTAAACTTGCATAATAACCCTCTAGATCTAAAAAAAAAAAAAAAAAAAAAAAGAGATTTTGAGAAAATCACCTTTAAAGTTGTCCAAATGAGATTCTTAGCAATGTATATTGCTAATTAAAAATTACGTTTTGATGTATTAACGGTAGGGCATTTACACAGGGCTCTAGACTCATTCTTCCCACTGGTCGAAAACCCCCTAGAACAAAAAAAAAAAAAAAAAAAAAAAGAGTACTGGAAAGAATCTAAAACACTGAAAGCATGTCAAATTTGACAGTTTTTAGTGTATGTGGCTTTATACTGCACTCTGTTGCACGCCAACAGGAAAGCCAGCTTTAATGGAAATAGCCTACACCGCAGTAATAAATCCAGTTTTACATCACATTGTTACACAACACAATCAAGCCTCACATTTCACACTAGTTGTGCGTTTATTTACCTTTTCGCGTCTTGTTCCTTGTTTCTCCATCCTGTCCTACTTTAGTATCCAACTGTTTCAAACTTTCATCCCATGATACTTCACACGCTCCGAATCCATGAGAAAAAAAAGCCTGGTTTCCCCGAATAAAGCGTCTTCAGATTCAGATTCAGATCGGGTGTTGATGCAGAAATGAATTCAGGCACGGTAGCTACTCGCAGAAACGCTCAGCAGCTCTTCAGAAAACAGTTATTCCAGAGGAAAGTTCGCCATGTTTTTCTTCTCTCGTCCCGGTAAGAGGCGGTTCAGATGCTTTCAGTAGTTCAGGGCTTCAGTTACTATTTATGACATCAGACGGGAGTTGAGTTACTTACTGCGACTAGTTACTATAGGCCTGGATCACTAGATGTAACGTTACTGCACTTCACGGGCCGGGGCATCTTTCTTAACTTTTAGTCTGTGAAATTATTGTTTGACAAAATATTTTCAAACTATGACGATGTAAACATTTACTGACCATTAAATGACAGTGCGTTTACAACAGCGCAGCTATAGTTAAAATGTTATTGCTGTTATTATAAATAATATTATTATAATAATTAATTATTATTTAAAATATGTATTTTTCCTTTACAAAAATACTCTAGGCATTACCATGCTAAAGTGATGATAATATGACAGTTCTAGGTTTTTGTTTTTTTGTGGTACTGACTGATTAAAACAAATGTAGGCCTATCCATTATAGCATGTAGCTAATTCACCATTTACAAACAATAAATAAATAAGGTTGTAGAACTTTGTAAGTACTGGCCTCTGGACATAAACATGATCAAAGTCAACTCATATAAAGATATATTTATTAATTAATTTACATGTTATTTACAATTGTACATACATTTACAACGCTCGCTTGTTACACCAATTCAGATATAGGCTAGTGCAATATTTGGTAGGCTAGTAGAGACCAAAACAAATAGTAACAACATATCGTGACATTTTCAGCGCATGCGCAATTACATCCTGTTTTACCTGAGGAGGAGAAGAAGCGGGGAAATGCACCTCAGGAGAAAAAATATAACGGAAAACAGATTTTGGGGTATGAAAATGATTTTGAGATGTCCAATACTGCTGTATAAAGTTAACATGCCTTTGAATTTAAACTTATATCTAGGTTATCTCTTGACTGCGGGGTAAAGAACATGAATGAAAGAGTCTATCGCTTGCTCGTCAGTCTTATCGTGGCTGTGAGGGTGGGGGCAATTGTAAAAATTGTTAAGACTTAAACGTTTACGATGCATTATTTCATTGAAGTATGTGGCAGAAAAACTGTTTCAGACAATTACAATATATATGCCACTTAGAAGTTGCCTTTAAATGCGTATTATTTCTTGCAGCTAAAACAATTTGTACCATATTACCCCATAATAAGGTAGGCTAACTGTTACACTCTGACCTATTATCTTATGCTAAATTTAATATTACAACCCTTCTCAGTATAAATGTTCACAATGCTATTTCAGCACAAACTTCCAATACCAAAAAGTACATTTGTGGCAGGTTGAGAGTTAAAGGAAGCGTTTCTCCCATTGACTCCTAATGTACATAAGCGGTTTCATAAGAGCATTTATATTGCTATTGTTTCCCATTGTACGTTTTTTGCCACTTTGGTAAGTTGAAACGGGCTTTATGACCGTTTCCGTTTAGGAACTCTAGGTTTTTGCAGTTTAGTGTGCATCCTGATGCATTTCTTATATAATATGACTTGCGAGTCTTTCCTCTTGGAGCGTTTAGGGTTCATCCTCTTGAGTTTGCGTTTGAAGTCCACTAGATGTCGTCCTCCTGTCATGTCTTTCCCCCAATTTTGGATGAGCTGTGTTTCTGGTGGATGAGATGAGCAACTAAATAGAAGAGAAACCACAAAGAATGCTTTTTGTTTTATGGTTTACATCTCAGAAGCACTTTGATTAACTAGGCCTATCCATTCTTTAAATTATTATTTGTATTACATTATTCTTTGTTTAGTAGATTCATCGTCATTCACAGCCAAATTTGGAGACAATTAACCTGTATTACATTATTTTTTGTTTAGTAGATTCATCGTCATTCACAGCACACATTTGGGGACAATTAACCTGAATCAACCAACTTTTGAGTTACCAGCCCAGCTATTTAACCATAATGTCTATACCAACCTTTTTCCATTGATGCAGTTCTCAGACTGTGATAGGGTGAAGCAGGATTGTGATACGAAATCCATCAACAGCGAATGTACAGGGTCAGTTTCATCCAGTTCTTTGGACAAGATCTTTTGGACAAGTCTGAGAAAGCAGCATGTATCAGTAGATAGCAGCGAAAAATCATGCACAGATTAACCCAAAACCTGCCTACATGTTCTTTACTTGCTTAAAGGAATAGTTCTCCTAAAAGTGAAATTAGCTGAAAATGTACTCCGCCTCAGATCCTCCGCAGTGAATGGGTGCCGTCAGAGTCCAAACAGCTGATGAAAACACCACAATAATCCACAAGTAATCCACACCACTCCTGTCCATCAAATAGCATCTTGTGAAATGAAAAGCTGTGTTTGTAATAAACAAATTAATCATTACGGCGTTTTAGCTTTGAACCATTGCTTTTGGCCAAAATGGGAGTCCATAATCCATAACAATGCTTTCTCCCTGTTGTCCTCTCACATCAAAATCCACCAACATTTGTTTAGAGCTGTTTTTGCTTGTAAACGGTGCAGATTTCTCTACTGATTCAAACTTCTCTCCACTGGAAAAGTAGTGTTATGGATAAAAGACTTGTTTGAAGTTAAAAATGTCTTGATGGATTTGTTTTTTTACAAACACAGCTTTTGGCTTCACAAGATGTTAATTTTTGGACTGGAGTGGTGTGGATTACTGTGATGTTTTTATCTGCTGTTTGGACTCTCATTCTGACGGCACCCATTCGCTGCAGAGGATCCATTGGTGAGCAAGTGATGCAATGCTACATTTCTCTAAATCTGTTCTAATGAAGATACAAACACATCTACATCTTGGATGGCCTGAAGGTGAGCAAATTTAAGCAAATTTCATTTTTGAGTGAAATATTTGCGCATCCCTAATAGAGACATGGTGTTCAAATTTGGGTGGATATATTGAATGTGCATTCACCTGGCAGTACAGTTACAGTGGTAAAGGGTTCTCATGCCAGAGTTTCGTAGACCGAACTTCTGCTGTAAAGCAGGGATCTGTAGATGGCATGAATCCAGGTGTCTGTAGAGCTCACACATCTCAAACTTGCCTATGCAAAACAAAATTATTAAAAAAGGAAGCTTTTACAAGATTGTCAGTTTGCTCGATTTACAACAGATCTGATATGAGTAATATTTAGCTCACCTTTTTGTGGTCTGTCTGTTGTTATATTTGGTGCTTCTGTTGGAAGTACGGAAGCTTCAGATTTCCGGGACAGCAGTGTTGTAACAGATGGCCCTGGTGATGTTGAAACTGGACTCGGTTCTTCACTGCCGCTCTTGGAAGCTTGTATAGTAAGGGATTCATCTGTGTTTTTGGTGACCTGGTTTTGTCCCAGAGTGATTGTTTGGTGAAAACTCGTTTCCAGCATCTCCATGACTTGGTCTGGGAGTGTGTCAGTGTAGTTTGCTGCATCTTTTACCACAGCATATTGAGCAAGTTCATAAATTGCACACCTGCCAATGAGAAAACCAACAAGGTTCTGTAACTGTGTACACAACATTATGTGCTCAGAGATTACAGCATGTACAAATCTCACTAAAGTGCCAAGTTTTCAAATAGAACAATTTCCTAAGATCAACAAGGTTTTTCCTTGTGTTGTGTGTGACATTTAAACCGATTGCATTTTGACCTAAAATTTTAATTCTGCCATTATTCACTAAATCTAATATATAAAAAATATATACATATATATACACATATATATACACATATAGACATATATATACATATACATATATATATACATATACATATACATCGCAATTGCGAGTTTATATCTCACATTTCTGTGAAAAAAAGTCAGAATTGTGAGATAAAAAGTCGCAATTACCTTTTTTTTTTATTCAGTGGCAGAAACGGGCTTCCATATGTGTGCACAACATCTACCATTCAAAAGTTGTTGTTTTTTTTACTTCTATTAAAGAATACTTTTATTCAGCAAGGATGCAATAAAAGTGACCGTAAACATTTCTAATGTTACAAGAGATTTTTATTTTAAATAAATGCTGTTCTTTTGGACTTTATTCATCAGTAAATCCTGGAATAAAATGTGGCAGTTTCCACAAAAATATGAAGCAGCACAACGGTTTTCAACATTGATAACCATCATAAATGTTTTTGTGCAGCAAAGCAGCATATTCCAATTTTCTTGGGGAAACTTAGGAATTCTGGGGGGCGCTCTGGAGGAGCGGGCACTGGAGGGCGCTCTGGAGGTGCAGGGCTGGCTAACTCGGGGGAATCAGGAAATGAAGGAGACTCAGGGGACGATGGAGAACTGGATGGGACCAGCGGAGACGAAGGAGAACTTTCTGGAGCAGATTCTGAGGTCAGGATAGGAGCCGAGAACTCTGGAGGTAGCGCCATGTCCAAGAGCACTGAGGCA